TCCAACACCCTCTTCTGACCTCCACAGTCACTGCATGACACTGGTGCACTTACATACATGCAGACAAAACACTCATAAAATTTTATAAAAACACTATTTAAAAAAAAAATCAATAAAGCTGGGCATGGTGGCACACACCTTTAATCCAAGCACTTGGGAGGTAGAGGCAAGCGGATCGCTGTGAGTTCAAGGCCAGCCTGGTCTACAAAGTGAGTTCCAGGCCAGCTGGGGCTATAGGGAGACCCTGTCTCAAAAAGACCAAAAAATAAAATAAATAAAAAATAATAATAAAATCAATAAAATACACCTGCAGGTGGCGAGAATACCTGGAGTTTGCTCAATTTTAAAATGTAATGTGTGTGCGCCATTGGAGGTTTGGTATCGACAGCTGGCTTCACTAGAGAAGAGGATAAACAGCAGAGTTACAGTCCAGGAATCCTAACAGCTTAAGAAAACCTGCCAGACCACCCTGAGCCCAACCAATGAACACTAACTACAATTTAAATTCTGCCTGTGAAATCTAGCAACTTCAATTTGGTTTAATTTCCCAAACTGACATCTCTGAAGAGTTTTGAACAGAAATTTTAAAATGCTGAGGCCTAGTAAAAGTAAAATTCACAGAGATGGCTGGGGATGTAGTTCCGTTGCTTGAGTACCAGCCTAGCATACCAGAGACCTCAGGTTCAACCCCCAAACACTGCCTAAACAAGGTTAGTGGCACATGTGCCTGTAATCCCAGTAGAAGCCAGAGATTAGGAAGTCAAGGTCATCTTTGGCCCTCAGCCAGCTCCTGGCCATCTGAGTTACATGGGACCCTGCCCGAAATTCATAGAAATAAATGTCCTCATGTTGGAAACGTGGCTTTGTGGTTAAGAACACTGGTTGCTTTTGAAGAGGGCCTAGGTTCAGTTTCTAGCACCCACATGGCAGCTAACAACTGTCTGTAACTTCAATTGTAGAGGATCTGATGCCCTCTTCTGACCTATGTGGGCATTACACACGTGGTGAATTTATATACGTGCACACAACTCACACATAATTTTTAAAAAATATCCTTTCAATCCACCATCAGCACCTCTTTCCCACCCCTTCCCAATGTTACTAGCCAGTCTATTGAGCACTGAAGTCTTATCCTCTTTCTAACTTTAGCTCTGAAGAGTTTAAAGTGAATCCTTCTAGCATACGGACTCACATGGACTCCCGGATAGAAGATACATTTTGTTTTTTATTATAATCTCCTCTTGACCAAAGCTCAGCAGATAAGGCCATATCATTTCAAAGCCAACTCTGGTGTGGCTTCCCGTCACTATCTCTATGGTGGATCCTTTTAGAACCCTGAACAGTAATGCTCAGCTCCAACTTCCCACATACCTATTTGTATTCTATTCTTGTGCAGTATATAGTGGCCAAAGTCCAGTTTTTTTCTCAAAGTTGTGCTTTGCCTGTGATTAGAGACGATAACAGGGTAGGCAAGGTAATCCAGAGAACTGTTCATCTTCTCCTTCTAGTCCCACTTCAGAAATGAGACATCTTGGCTCCTCTGTGAGGAACTTAGCTGTCCCTGTGACAGGGTGTCATAATACCCTGTTATGACATCAGGAACAGGTTTCACTGAGTGAGAGAAAAACCATGTCTGCCTGCCTCTGGGCATCTTTTAAAATTTTTATTTTTGCTTTAAACTCATTTTTTAAGTCGACATAAAATTTATACATATTGATGGGGTGTGGAATAATACAATACATATATTCCGTGTGTAATGACCAAATCAAGGTAAGTAGTGTTTTTAACTCTTCAAGCTTGTATAGTTCTGTGTTGGGCTTCTGTTCTTTTGTGTTAACCTAGGTCTAAGTCAAGATGAAGGGAGAGGGACTCAGAAGCTCCCCACCTGCCTGGAAAGTAGATGTTGCCAAGACTGAAGGGGAAAGGAGAGGTTTAATTAGGAGAGTCCCACATAGCACAAGTTCAAGTTCAGGGAGGAAGGAATTCCAGCTCTCTGTTACACCCTTAGAGCTCAAGCGGTTTCTACTGCAAGGTTTCCCTGAAGATTTGAAGGCATAAGCTTTTCTGGGAAGTAAAACATTGGATAATTGGATCCAATTCCTTCATTCTTCAGATGAAGAAACTGAAGTCTAGAGCATCAGCAACATTATTTAACTAAGTTAGTGTAGCCAGATGCAGTGGTACACTTTGTCATCCCAGCACTGGGGGAGTGGAGGCAGGAGGATCAAGTTCAACGTCATTCTTGCTACACAGAAAGTTAGAAACCAGGGGCTGGAGAGATGGCTCAGCGGTTAAGAACACTGGTTGCTCTTGTAGAAGACCTGGGTTCAAATCCCAGCACCCACATGGCAGCTAACAACTATCTGTAACTCCCGTCCCAGGGGATCTGATAGTCTCTTCTGACATCCGTGGGCATTGCACGACATGGGTGCACTTACCTACATGCAGGCAATACATGCATACGCATAAAATAAAAATAATAAATAAAAATTTTTAAAAAAAGAAAAGAAAGTTAGAAACCAGCCAGGGCTACATGGGAGCCTGTCTCAAAAATGAAAATAAAAAATAAAAAAAAACATGAAAGAAAAAGACTAAGGCGGCTGAGCTGAACTCAGGATGTGTGTTCTGAATTTCAGAGATCATATTTGCCCTATTTGGGGAAGAATCTGTTCTTTTTCACAGCAACTGGAGAGGGAAGCATTCATTTAGGAGAGAAGCTGTGTCTTTTGCTCTCAATGGAAGCTCAGTAAAGGCTGAACTAACACCATGTGGCTCATAGTAAAGGAGCCAGGGTCACCTTCACAGTAGCACAGGGCATAGACCCAGGGAGTGTGCAACACATTCACTGAGAAGAGACGACCAACATTTAATGAGTGCTCACCATCAGTGTTGGGTGCTTTTCTTGAATTAAAATTTTATTTTTTATGTGCATGAGTGTTTTGCCTGCATGCACGTAAGTGCACCTATGTTGTGCAATGCCTGTGGAGGCCAGAAGAGGTGAGCTGATCCCCCGGAATTGGAGTTACAGATGGTTGTTAGCCATCATGTGGGTGCTATGAATTGAACCCAGGTCCTCTGCAAGAGCAGCCAGTGCTCTTAACCACTGAGTCAACTCTTCAGCCCCTCGAACTTTTTTGAGACAGAGTCTCATGTATCCCAGGGTGATCTCAAACTTGCTATGTAGTGAGGATGACATTGAACTTCTGATCCTCCACCTCTGCCTCCAGTACTGGGATTACTGGAATGTACCATTGTGTCTGTTTTCCCAGTTTATTCAGTGCTAGGGATGGAACCCAGGGCTTTGTGCATGCTGGGCAAGCAACTCTATCAACTTAGCTACATCCCCAGGTTTTTTAATGTTTCTTGAATCTTTCCAATACCTTGAAGAGTTAGGTATTGAATATTCCTTACTGAAATGCTTGGGGCAGAAGTGTTTAGGGTTTTAGAATATTTTAATATATATGAGATATTTAGGGAATGAATCCAAGTCTAAACACAAAATCCATTTAGGCTTTACATATATATATGTATGTATATACATTTGTATATATAGGCTTTATATATATATATACTGAACATATTTTTGTGCAATATTTTTAAAATTTTTATTTTCAGGGACTGGAGAGATGACTCAGTGGTTAAAAGCACTGGCTGCTCTTGCAGAGGAACCCACATAGTGGCTAGTAGCAGTTCATAACTCCAGTTCTAGGAAATCTGATGCCCTCTTCTGACCTCCACAGGCATTGCATGACATGGATGCAGTTACATGCAGGCTTATACACATAAAATAAAATACTTATGCACATAAATAATAAATAAATACTTATAAATAATAAATACTTATACACATAAAATAAAAATTTAAAAAGTTTTTTAAAAATTTTATTTTCAGCTGGGTGTGGTGGTGCACCCTTTAACCCCAGCACTGGGGAGGCAGAGGCGGGTGAATCAAGGTCATCCTGGTCTACATGGTGAGTTCCAGGCCAGCTGGGGCTACAGGGAAACTCTGTCTCAGACAAAAGTTTAAAAAACCTTTTTTTAAAAAATTTCAATTGTGTGCCTGTGTTTGTGCGTGTGAATGCTGGCGCCTGTGGAGGACAGGGGCATCAGGTATCAGATCTGTTGAAGCTGAAGTTACAGAGGCAGTTGTGATGTGAGTGTTGGAAATTGAACTCAGGTCTTCTGCAATTGCTGAGCCATTTCTCCAGCCCCCTTGCACAGTATTTTTAGTGCACCTGATTTTAGACTGCCATCTGTCACAAGAGGTCGGATGTGGAATTTTCCACTTGTGTGTGTCTACACTCAATAGTTACAGATTTGTAAACATTTTTGATTTCTAAATTAAAGATGTTCAAATTGTATTATCCCGTCTGAACCCCTTCCCCACTTTTATTCCCCACCAGACTCAGATTAAGTAATTCCCCAGGGTCAGAATGCTAAACCTGGCTGTCTAGAACCCCACCTTTAAAAGCAGGATGCTGATTCTCAATTTTGACAGCAGTCCAGATCCAGAGTAGGGCTCCTCGCTGTGACCTTGGTAGGGATCCACCTCCTGGGGTGGGAAAGCTGTGGCCTAGGTATTCGGCAGGTGTGGGTTGAGGAGAAGATGCTGTGTTTCTGACAAATGTGTGTTTGGCGGTGGGAGAATAGATCCCAATGATGCTGTTGTGCAGCAAGAAAAATTCACAGCAAAACCCAGGGGTGGTTGGCATCTTTAAAAAAGCGACACCTGGGTGTACCCCAGGCGTCCTGCATTTGGCCACTGGAAGTGACTGCACGTCCCAGTTTTATAGACATATACGAAACTGCCTTAGCCAGGGTGAGAGAAGACCCTTGACACTGGAGTGGTAGCACTTCGTCCGGGGACACGCCCCGGGGGTCCTGCGGCGCATGGGCTGCGGCGCACGTCCTTTGCGCAGCGCCTTGCTGGGCGCCCTGCAGCTCCCCGCACCCCGCGGGCCCGCCTTCGGGGCGGGACCCGGCAGCTCCCGGCTCAGCCCCGCCCAGCTGACCAGTCTCCCTTCGCTCGCTCCAGCCCCGGCGCGCAGGGCCCGGCCGCCGCCATGGCCCGCCCGTTAGAGCTCTCGGTGCAGGATCTCAACGACCTGCTGTCGGACGGCAGCGGCTGCTACAGCCTCCCGAGCCAGCCCTGCAACGAGGTCATCCCGAGGATCTACGTGGGCAACGCGTGAGTGTCCCCGGGTCGCGTCCCAGCAGCCCCTCCCCGGGCGCCCCGCCCACCCGGGGGCTGGACTGGGGCTCCGGGCTTGAGGGTCCCTGGGCGCGGTCGCGGTCCCGGAGGCCAGAGCAGGGGCTGGGGACCCGGCTGGCTTCGACGCCCACTCCCGCGCGTGGAGCGGAGGGGCTGGACTTGGCCCCCGCAGCCCTTCCGGGTCGCAGGCGCTGAGATCCGAAGGTGCGGCCCGGCTCTGCCCTTGGCCGCCCAAGCTCGGGGTCTGGCTTTGGGCGGGGTCGAGGCTCCCGTGTTCACTTAACAGGTGGCCGGTCTCCTCGCCCCGCGCGTCATGTGACAGCTGCCTGGTTCTGCAGTGAGGTCACCATGGAATGTCTGCCTTCGTTGCATGGCAACGGACTGACGTCACAATCCAGGCGTGGAACTTTTCTTCTCCCTGTAAACCCAGATCTGGGAATCCAAATACCCCCAAAATATCCTAAATAAAAAAGTAGAAAGTGAGCCAGGGAAGTTTCCTGAGCTCTCTTTTCCACTTTCCAGATAAGATTGGTCTTCGATGGGATCAATCAAAATGACAAATTCCATAAAAGACCTGAGCCATCTTCTGGAAATTCCTTCCAACCTTCTCACCACCAGGAAATGCATTTATTACTGATCTCTTAGGAGTTCCTATCAAATTGGTTTTCTGTTAGCCAGCCTACTAAGAAGAATTTTCTCAGCAGCTGGAGTGAATCAGTAGTAACCATTCTGACAGGTGCTAACCCACCAAAAGCATGGATGGATTAGTGTCCTCACAGCCTGGGGAAAGCCCAGCTTGGATTTTCATGACAAGGAAGACCCATTTATCAAAGTCCTAAGCTCCATGGGTCCAGCTCAAGGACTGTGTGTCAAAAACTGATAACCAACCCTTCCTCTCATTTTTTACATAGTAGGAAGTGGTAGCTCAGAGTAACTGGGGGATTATAAGGACCTGTCGGTAATACATTCATGTGTGTGTATTCTGTCCTGCATCTAGGATCTGTTGCCTAAACTACCAAGGTCTACCATAGAAATAAGTTGGCCGTAGGACCAGATTGGGTTCATGTTGCCCACATGCCCCAGCCTCTTGGGGATTGGCTTCGTTCTTTGCGTCACTCATTTCCACATGGAGGACCTACTGTGTGTCACACTGTGTGATGTTCATTTGTAGCAATGGCAGAGATGGTAAATTTGTTGACTGTTGAATTTATATTAGAGAAGGGAAGTGAAACAGGTGCTCTGTTCTGTATTCTGTCTACCACTGCTGTGCAGTCTTGCTCAGTGTGCTGAACAGGAATGGCTAAAACAGTTTCACAAGGTCAGTCCGAGGCCCAGTGACTGCAGAATTCTAAGGGACCTACCAACTACCCAAGCAGCCGGGAGGGTGTGTGTGTGTGTTGGGGAGGGGGGGACTCGGTAGCCTCTGGAGCCTATTCCCTAGGGGCAGTTTTCTTCCCAAGGCTTGGTGGTAGCCAGAGGGGCAGGTGTGATGGCTGCCAACGAAAATACATTCTTTGCCCTCTGTGCAAATCTAACCTTCACGTAGGGGTACTCAACGGGAAGGGTCAGCTGCATACCTAGTGCCAAGAAGAATTGGGTTTCCTCACCCATCAGGAGATCCTGAATAAAATGAGGGTTCCAGCTGCATCCTCTCAGGGAGTGAGGGAGGCTGTGTGAGCCAGTTTGTGGATACCCAGTGCTGCCATGACACACAGATGAGAGCATGTAGGAGGTACTGCTTTATAAAGCACAAACTGCTATTTAGATTGGGGTGGTGTTGTGAGGAGAGCCTCTTTGTTCATTCAGGCCAGGTATCTTATAACCCCCATCATTCTTTGGGGGCTACCTGCTCCTCAGTTGCTAAGATATTCCTGGGAGCCTCAGAAATGTAACTAATAGGGTATGGCAGAAGGGGTTGATGATCAGGGGTCCTGACATGTGACAGTTTCATTCTTTCCGCAGTCACTGCCAATTTATTCAATACCTACTATGTGTCAGGCACTGCTGTAGCAGGTACTGAGGGGACAGACCTCCTTGCAAGGAACTCACAGACTGGACCTTTGAGCAAATACGTATGACCCTGTTTTGGAATATTAACCCTTATCATAGAGTTAGGCTCTATCAACAACACAAGCCCCTTTAACACTCAGGACTACTCCAAGCAGTATGTATTGTTATCCTCATTTTACAGTGGGGAAACTGTAGCTCAGAAGGTTATGTGGCTTGCTTAAAGTTGCCTGGCTGATAAATGGCAGGGCTGGATTCAGACCCAGGCACTCTGGCTCCAGCGTCTATTTTTGTTTTATTTTATTGTTTTATTTGGGTCTCACTGTATAACTGAGGCTAGCCTCAAACTCAAGATCTTTCTGCCTCAGCCTCTTGAGTGCTAGGATTGCAGGTGTGTGCCACCATGCCCAGCTCTCCAAAACTTTGTCTGGGTTTCAATACCATCACCACAATATAGGAACTTTGACAGCGCACTAAATGAAGGGATCTGGGGAAATACACAGAGGGTGCTGTAAGATGAGAGGGTGGATGCCTACAGAGAAGGTGGGGAAGGGTGGCAGAGGGAACAGCATGGCACCAAACCACAAATCTATTTGGGGAAGCTGTGGGTAACTGGATATGGCTAGACTAAGGGGGAAGATCATGAGGCAGGAGACACTGCAGAGGCCAGTAGGTAGCAGGCTCCTTGCTTTGTTAAGAGGCTCAGATCCTTCCTCATCTTCTTCACCTGGGACTGCAGCAGGTCACTTCCTCATATTTGGCTACTGTCTCCCATCCAGGTCTGTGGCTCAGGACATCTCTCAACTGCAAAAACTGGGCATCACCCATGTCCTGAATGCTGCCGAGGGCAGGTCCTTCATGCACGTCAACACCAATGCCAACTTTTACAAGGACTCTGGCATCACTTACCTGGGCATCAAGGCCAATGACACACAAGAGTTCAACCTCAGCGCCTACTTTGAAAGGGCTGCAGACTTCATTGACCAGGCCTTGGCGTACAACAATGGTAAGGGGCTGACACCCAGAACCATGGGGAGGCAGCTTTCATTTGGGCTGTCCTAGAGAGCAGGCCTCAGGAACAAGTCTCCTTCTGGACATCCTATTGTTTGCCATCCCCTGAGGTGATGACTGGGGCCTTTAGATCTTGTCTCTTTGCTTGGCAGGCCAAGTGGCCTCACATTACATAAACAATCCAACTCTTTCTTTCACACAGTGGCAGCATCAGGGTCCTTGCCTTTAATTTTATTTAGGCACAGCATTGGTTTCTAGGCATCTACTCCTCACTCCCACCCACGACTCAAGTAGCTGTGATAATGGAAAAAAGGCTTATTGCTGTCCACATGAGAAGTCCTGAGGGGAAGGAACAGTGGTTGGTTGATTCAGTAGCTCAATGGTGGGGTCTAGACTACACTCTTTCTCTCCTGCCCATCTCATGACTCCATGGTGAGATCTGGTCACCATAGCTATATTATATGTATGTATTAGTTTCGTTTGACTGTGACCAAAGGAACCAAGACAAAAGTTTGAAGGAGGAGAGACTTTTATCTGGGCTCACAGTTTCAGAGGTTCAGTGTGGGTTCAACTGGTCCCATTTGCATGGACAGGACATCAGAATAGGGGAAGCCTGTGGAAGAGGAGGCTGTTTTTAATCTCATGGCAGACAGAGGTGAGGAAGGGATCACGGACCAGCTAGGCCCCTTAAAGGCAAGCCCCCAGGGACCTACTTCCTCCAGCTAGGCCCTACTTTCTTTTTTTAAAAAAATATTTTATTATTTTTATTTTATGTGTACGAGTGTATTGCCTGCATGTATGTGAGTGTACTCAAGTGAGTGCACCCGTGTCGTGCAATGCCTTGGAGGTCAGAAGAGGGCTTCAGATTCCCCTGGAATGGAGTTAAGGACGGTTCGTAGCCACCATGTGGGTGCTGGGAATCAAACATGGGTCCCCTGCAAGAGCAGTCAGTACTCTTAACTGCTGAGCCATCTCTCCAGCCCCTACTTTCTAAAGTTTCCAAAATATCCAAAAACACTGCCACCAACTAGGGATCAAATGTTCAACCCGTGAGCTTGTGAGAGCCATTTCATGGCCTCTCAGCCATACAGAGGGCAGGAGCTGAGCACCCACTTTTCTCTTGTTTCGATGTGGGTGTGTGTGTGTGTGCTGTGCAAATGTGGAGGCCAAAGGTTGACAATGTATGTTTCCTTCAGTCATGCTCCACTTCAGTTATTTTTCATTTTTTTATTTTTCAGTCTTTTTGAGACAGGGTCTCCCTGTAGCCCCAGCTGGCCTGGAACTCACTATGTAGACCAGGCTGGATTTGAACTCATGGAGATCCGCCTGCCTCTGCCTCCCGAGTGCTGGGACTAAAGGCATGCCACACCATGCCTGGCTCACATCAGTTATTTTTTAAATTTATTATTTTTATTTTACTTGTATGAGTATATTGCCTACATGTGTTTAAGCGTATCCTTGTCGTGCAGTGCCCACAGAGGCCAGAAGAGGGCGTTAAATTTCCCTGGAAATGGAGTTACAGACAGTTGCTAGCTGTCATGTGGGTGCTGGGACTCAAACCTGGATCCTCTGGATGAGCAGCCAGTGCTCTTAATGACTGAGCCATCTCTTCAGCCCCTCCACTTCAGTTTTTGAGGCAGGGTCTCTCACTGTACCTGGAGTTCACTGATTTAGCCAGGCTGCAGGGATCCACTTGTCTCCTCCTCCTTAGCCCTGGGGACTTACAGAAGCATGCTGTACATGTGGCTTCTATGTGGATACTGGGATCTCATGCTTGAGCAGCAAGCACTTTCCTAACTGAGCCACCTCCCCAGCTTGTGTTTCCTTCTAAGAGCAAGTGACCCATTCCCCCAGACTCTCCCAGTTTAGCTTTCGTACTCCCTTATTGGCTAGGGACTCATGTGGCCACCTCACAAGTGGGACTGGGTGGCCATAACTGGCCTTACGACGGTCATCAGCCTAGAGCTCTCAGGTTAAATCTCCCAGCCATGCTTCAAGTACTTCCTGAAGCTGCAGACAGAAATTAGGACCAAGGAGAGCCAGCTGGCTGACGGTCAGACCAGGCATTCAGCTGAGAGAGAAATCCTAGAAGTCCATAGGGCAGATAACTGCTGAGCACACTGGTTCTCCTGGCTCTTCTGTCACCTCTTCCTCCCTCTGATGATACACTGGATTGTGTCTCTACCACACAAATGCTTCCTGGGCCCAGCCACTTCCCTATCCAAGAAATTCCCAGAGACAGCTTCCTACCTACTGATGCTCAGCACACATTCAAGGCTCCCAGAGATTCTACTGATGGGGGAAACTACAGACTCTGAAGTCAGGGCCTTTTGGTCCCTCATGGTCCCTGTCATCCCCACCCCAGAGCCCTTCTCTATCTGTTCTGAACTTCTAACTCTGGGTGGATGGAGAACATGGCTCAGTTAATCAAGGCTTTGCTCTTCACACATGGTAGTGGTTGGTCACACACTCCTGGGACTCAGAGTACTGAGCCTTCGTTTCCTTGTTCTAGTCAATCAGGAATACTTCGTGACTTGTTTTAACCTCCTGCCTTGGTGAAGGTGGGCTGGGTCTTTGGTATAGAAAGCTCTCTGCCTTCCTCTCCCCTGTCTTCTGGCAAACCCTTCCTTAGCCCTAGCATAGCATCCTCTCTTCCATGAAGCCTGACCTCAGGCTGGTTTATGGGGAACCAGTGGGGTCCCTGGCTTCTCCCCAGTACCAGATGTAGCAATCGGCATATTCTACAATGGATTCACTGAAGACGATTATTGAACAAGTGGCAATACATCCCAGGGTTCTAATGCCTTGTGGGCATGTTACTAAGATGGATTGGGCACTGGCCTCCAACTGCGTGCAGGACTCCAGGGACTAGGAATCCATCACTAAGAGAGTTATGGCCTGGAGAGATGGCTCAGTGGGTAAAGTGCCTACTGAACAAACATGAAAACCAGAGTTTGGATCCCTAGAACCCACATAAAAACTGAATGAGCATAATGGTCTGCCTATAATCCCAGCATTTGGGAGGCAGAGACAGGAAATCCCCAGAGAAAGCTGGTTAGCCAGACTAGTAAACAGTGAGCTCTGTGTTCAGCAAGAGACCTTGCCTTAACATATAAGGTCAAGAATAAATGAAGACAACAGATGCCAACTCTAAACCTCCACATGTACTTGAACATAGTGCACCACACACATGCATTCATACATGTGAACACACATACCCACCCTGGGGTACATTGCTCACATAATTTTAAAGAGAGAGTGAGCCAGGCAGTTGGGAGGGAGGCTGGTATACTTAGAAGAGAAAGCAGGCACTTGTTTCTGGAAGGATCAAAGAGGGCTAGGCCTGGAGCAGGGTAGACTCTGTGCCCTGGAGGCACTGAGCATGCTCCGGGTGAGAAGCAGGATGATGGCTGCTCTGCAGAGGGTCCTACTGTCCAGTGGGGGCGGGGCAAGCCCACCGAGTGCTTTGGGTAACAGCCAGAGAGGGAAAGGCAGGAAAGTGGAAGATTCCCATCATCTGGTGTAGGAGGCTCTGGGGAAAAAGAGGGGTGTTTTAGGGTAGGGTGAGGAGTGCAGAGATGCTGTTGACTCTGGGTCAGTCATTTTCCTTCCAATACAATGTCTGTGAGGAGGTGTGAGTGCTAGCCACTAACTCACTAAGCAAATAGAAGGGTGCCAGTGTATACTGGAGATGGCAGGGCACACCAAACCCAGCACCTCTAGTCCTCATTCTAGAGAAACTCATCCCTATAGGATGAGCACACAGGTGGCTGGGGCCACCGAGGGACTCCCAGTACTGGTTGATGTTTATTGAGTGCTCTTGTGTACCAGGCACTAGCTGGGGCTTTGTTTCTATTTTATTTTGTTTTGTTTTTGAGACAGAGTCTTGCTATGTCTCCCTGGCTATCCTGGAGCTCATTCTGAATCCTAGCCTTGTGGGGGCAGTAGGCCTTGTCACCCACACTTTGGGGACTAGACTTCACCCTGCAAACGTTGGTGGATCAGACTAATATTTCAGAAGGATTTCCAGCTGTCAGTGGACTGTGGATGGGCAGTGGTGAGGGTAGAGGGAGAGCTCCATTTGGAGGAGAAGACGAAGGGGCACAGATGAGAGATGGCAAGGACATGAGCTAAGCACTCTGTGTGGGAGACAGGTGGTAGGAGAGAGAAGCCAGCCTTGTGCCCTGCCCCCATGGGAGGTGTCCCTGAAACAGTCAGGGGACTTTGCTGACAGTGATCTTTGGCAACTCTCCTCCCTCCCTCTTTCCCTCCTTTTATGCCTCCCTCCCTTCACCTCTACCTCCCTCCTTTTCTCCATCCCTCCTTTCATCCCTCCCTTATTACTGTCTTTGCCCCTCAGGAACTTAAAGGAGCATATTTCACTGGGAAGGAAGAAGTAAAACAGAAACAGGGAGGAAGGAGACTACAAGGTGGCCTTAGCAATGGGAGTGACTTATAGTTTGCAGGAAGTTGGGCAGGAAAGGCCTTCCTGGGAAGGTGATCTCAGCAAACCCCTTGGGGGAAAACTACAGGCAGGTGGCAAGCTGGAGTTCAGGGAAAAAAAAAGAGGGAATGACTATGGAGTGGAGTGAGGACCATTTGGGGAAGCCACACGGTGGTTGTGTGTGTGTGTGTGTGTGTGTGTGTGTGTGTGTGTGTGTGTATTTGAAATCCATTCTTTTTTAAAAAAATTATTGGGGCTGGAGAGATTCCTCAGCAGTTAAGAGCTCTTGCAGAGGACCTGTGTTCAATTCCCAGCATCCACGTGGCAGTTAACAGCCATCCATAACTCAAGTTCCAGGGGATCCAATGCCCTCTTCTGACCTTCTTGGGCATTGTACGACACAGATGCAGGTAATACACTCATACACATAAAATAAAAATAATAATTAAAATGTTTTTTAGAAAAAGAAAAAATTGCTGAGATATAATTGGCATTCAATAAGGTATATGTACTTAATGCGACAGTTCATTAGGTCATTAAGTTTTGGCATGAGTATACACCTATGAAGCGCTTACCACAATCAAGATAGTGAATGTGTCCATCACCCTCACTTTATGTCCCTGGGCAGCCTCTCCTGCCTTCTCTACCTTCCGTTCCCAAGCACTCACCAGTCTACTTTCTGTCACTAGAGACCACTTTGCATTTGTGATTTTCTGTCAACAGAACTACACAGCGTGCTCTGTTTGCTCTAGCCTTGTTCACGCTAAATGTTTATTGTGGGAGCTGGAGAGATGGCTCAGAAGTTAAGAGCACTGACTTCTCTTGCAGAGGACCTGGGTTCAATTCCCAGAACCCACATGGTAGGTAACAACCATCTGTAACTCCAACACCATCTTCTGACCTCCTCGGGCATTGCATGACATGGGTACATTTACATACATGCAAGCAATACACTCATACACAAAAAAATAAATAAATATTTTAAAAATATTTATTATGAGTTTTGTTCATGGTGTTACCTCCATGGTTCATTCTTTTTTAAAGAATTATTTTCATTTTTTGTTTGTGTCCGTTGAATGTATGCCATATGTGTGCAGGTGCTATGAAGGTCAGAAGATGTCATCAGATCCCTTGGAGCTGGAGTTGCAGGTGGTTGTGAGCCATCTGATGTGGGTGGTGGGTGTAAAACTCAGGGGCTCTAGAAGAGCAGCAAGCTCTCTTAACTTTTTTTTACAAGCAGTATTACATTTTATGGATATACATGGTTTGTTTATACAAGCTACATACATTTGAGATATTTCCTTGTTTTGTTTTAAGCAAACAAAGGATGCTGCTTTATAGCGGGGCTGACCTCAGACTTGCCATTCTCCTGCCTCACCCTCCTGAATGCGAGGACTCCAGGCATTTGTGACCTGGCTTCATGTTTTGTTTTTGATTGAAGGATAAATTTGTATAGAGAAGTTCCACGTCACAAAGTGTGTAGTTCAGTGAACAGCACACTCCTAAGTACCAACCCCCAGCTCCCCAGAAAGCCTACCATGTGTTCCGTCCAGTCTCTGTGCCCCATCCATACTTCCTGAGTTATCACTGTTTAAGCTTCAAACAACATAGTTCGGTTGGGCCTCTTTCCTGCTTTCCAGAATCATACTGCATTTGTGTGCCTTACACATGTGGAGTCCCAGGATTAAACTCAGATCATCTGGCTTGGTAGCAAGCACAATACCCACTCACTGGTCCATGAGCCATCTTGCTGGTTCAGTTCTCCTCCTCCCTTTTTTTTTTTTTATAGAGTCAGAGTTTCACTCTGTAGCCCAAGCTGGCTTGGAACTCTCAGTGACTGTTGCCTCTGCCTCGGCCTCTCAGAGTGTTGGGAGGTTATAGATATGTGCCACCAGCTAGGTCATTAATTCCTTAACATTTATTTATTTATTTATGTGTATTTATTATGCATGTATATAGGTGTGGGTGTGCACATGCCACAGCACATATGTGGAAGTCAGAGGACAACTTGGAGAAGTCAGTTCAGTTTTCTCCTTCTACCATGTGGATTCTGGAAATCAAACTCAGGTCATTAGGCTTGGTGGCAAGTGCCTTTACCCACTGAACCTAGATTGTCAATTCTTATTTATTTGTTTGTTTGTTTATTTGTTTATTTATTGCCTGTTAAAACTTTTTTTGGATTTATTTATTTTTATGTGTATGAGTGTTTTGCCTGCATGTGTGCAAGTACATCACCTGTGTCAGTGCCCATGGAGGCCAGAAGAGGGCGCCGGATCCCCTTGAACTGGAGTTATGGATGGTTGTTAGTGGTCATGTGGGTGCTGGGAACTGAACCTAGGTCCTCTACAAAAGTAACCAGTGCTCTTAATGCTGAGCCATTTCTCCAGCCCCTAATTCTTGTTATATATCCAGTCTATTGGTTTTTTTTTATTTATTATTTTTATTTTATGTGTATTGCTTGCATGTAGGTAAGTGTACCCATGTCGTGCAATGCCCACAGAGGTCAGAAGAGGCTGTCGGATCCCCTGGGACTGGAGTTACAGACAGTTGTTAGCTGCCATGTGGGTGCTGGGATTCGAACCCGAGGAACCCGGGTCTTCTGTAAGAACAACCAGTGTTCTTAACCGCTGAGCCATCTCTCCAGCCCCCTATATATCCATTCTATTGCTAATGTGATCAGTGGGGAGGCCCTGTGGACAGTGCTGCCTATCTCACTGAAGGTGTATGCACACTCCAAAAGAACATGAGCCGGATACCGCTGCTGGGTTGTAGGTGGCTCAGGTATTCAGCTTGAGCACTTTTTTTTTTTTTTTAATCGCTAGTCTTCCATGGTGGTTAGGTCTCTTCACACCCTGTCTTAGTCACATGGCAGTTGCTCCACATCTGTCATATCTGATACTTTGTGTCTTTCATTTTTATTAATTTGGCCTTTCTGGATGGGATGCAGAGGCTCTCAGCTTCACTTTATGGAAGAGCTTCGTCAAGTGTGATACAGTTGGACTTCCCCAGTCATCATGTCTCCCTGTTTCTTGCAGGCCGGGTGCTTGTCCACTGCCGTGAGGGATATAGCCGCTCCCCAACGCTAGTCATTGCGTACCTCATGATGCGTCAGAAAATGGATGTCAAGTCTGCCCTGAGCATCGTGAGGCAGAACCGTGAGATCGGCCCCAATGACGGTTTCCTGGCCCAGCTCTGCCAGCTCAATGACAGACTAGCCAAGGAGGGGAAGTTGAAACTCTAGTGCACCCACAGCCTCTTCTCCAGAGGTCTGACCAGGAGGCCCTGGCCACCATGTTTAGAAAACACAGTGTACCCTGCTCCCAGTGTCACAAGGCACTTGCCCACATTTCTGTTCCAACACTGCCCTGGACCCCTCACCCTTAGGGAGCATATAAAGAAGCTTGCTGAGGAGGGCATTCTTGCTCCCTGGTTGTCCTTTCCTCTAATGTCTGTCCTCTCCCTGAGGTGGGGGCTTCAAGGGGAGGCCTGTAGCATACATGCTTCTCCATGGTCCCCGGACAGGAAGGCCTGTGGGTGTGTAAGGCCTGAGACTCTCAAGGACACTCCTCATGACCTCCCTCCCAGGAACACCTGGGTTCTTCCTGAGTGGAGACCTCGGTGCCTTGAACCTGGTAAAGGAACTATGCAAACACAGGCCCTGTTTGCCCCACACCTGTCACCTCATCCTCATAGCCTCCCGCACCCTGCTTTTGGGCAGAGGTGCACTGTGAGTTCTGAAGTAGAGCGGGGAGATGGGTTATCTGTGGATGAAATTTCCATGAAGAGGCTGCATTTTAATTATTTCCTTAGAATTAAAGACACCACACTAAGAGGCCCTTAGGTGGGCAAACATGTTTTCCCGGAGGGCTGTCCTAATTCTATAGAATGTTTAAAATGTGCCTCTTTGGAGCTTGTGTTCCAAATTTGCTGCTTTGGAGCCTTTCCCCTTGGATGGCTCTGTCCCTTTGCTTGTTAGAAGAGTGATGCCTTGGGCAGGGTTTTAGTTTTCTTTTTTAGAAAACAGGGTGTTGAGGCCCAGCCTATTTAAAACTCTACCAATTGGAGAATTACAACGGTTTCACCCTGAATTATAGTGTTGGCGAGCCCAAGGCACTTGTGCTAACTGCTTTTTGCTATTCTAAGAACAGAAGGAGGAAGTTAGCTAATTACAGCCCATGTACGTGGGTGTGTCATGGGGGTGTGCCTGTCCACAGGAGGCCAAAGGACAGCAGGGAAATGAAGGGTCCTTGCATTTATCCTGCTTGTTGATGGGTGGCTCTGATGGCCCCTTGGAGCTGGTACAAGAGCCCTGGAGGGACTTGCAGGGCAGAAATGAGATGTAGTGTAGCATCTGGATGAATCCATCCTTTATTGGGGAGAGAACAAACAAAAAGAAATGACCTTTTAAGGACTTTTGGAAGATGGTGATGAAACACAGTAGATCTCATGTGTGTGCACATTTGCCACAAATTGAACACTGTCTTCTTGGGCCTTTATGCTCTTGTTATTTTGGAAAGTCATGTGATGTTGTGTATCTTCAAGGTCTGGAAGGGCAGAGTGGTGACACTCAGCCACCACCCTGATACCTAGCACATAGGCATCTCCTAAATGTCTGTTTCATGAGAATTGAACTGTTTGAGTACCCTGTGTATACAGGATGTTGTTCCAGTAGGGGAACTAGATCCCAACAGCCTCCATTCCTGTAGGATCTCTTGCAGGGATTTGCAAAGAAGTCTTACTTGAAAGAAATATCAGGGATTTCTGTTGAATGTTTAAAATGTAGCTTTAAATTAAAAACCCAGCAGTGTTAATGGGTCAAGGTGAGGGATGTGCCTTTTTCAGAGCTGTTGAGGCAAAGACAAGAAGCAAGTGCGTCTTAGGGCATCACTATAGGGGGTCAAGATCAGTGCTCACAGCTGGAGCAGAGCTGTGCAGCCAGGATGCTTGCTGTCTCCTGTTCTCTGTGACCACAGCAGCGCTGAGCAAGTAGGAGAACCTGCCATCTTTTCCAGAGTGAAATGGCCATAGCTGAACTGTGTGCCTCACTGCACAGTTTTCAAGTGGCTTTCTTGCTTGATCTAACTTGCTACTAACAATAAATAGTTGACAGAGCTTATTCATGCAGAGCTGTGCAGCCAGGATGCTTGCTGTCTCCTGTTCTCTGTGACCACAGCAGCGCTGAGCAAGTAGGAGAACCTGCCATCTTTTCCAGAGTGAAATGGCCATAGCTGAACTGTGTGCCTCACTGCACAGTTTTCAAGTGGCTTTCTTGCTTGATCTAACTTGCTACTAACAATAAATAGTTGACAGAGCTTATTCATGTGTTGTTTTACACACACACACACACACACACACACACACACACAAACACACGAAGATAACTTGCTACTAACAATAAATAGTTGACAGAGCTTATTCATGTGTTGTTTTACACACACACACACACACACACACACACACACACACACACACGAAGAACTGGGTTATCTGGTGGTACATGCCTACCTACAATCCCAGCACTTGGAAGGCAGAGGCAGGAGGATCACTGAAGTTCAAGGCCAGCATGGTCTATATATCAAGACTCCAGCCAATGGGTACATAGTGGGACTCTGTTTCAAATCATAAAAAATAACTGGAATTCAGGAGAATTAAGGGTGTGAAACCACCCCACCCCCCAGGAGTTGCACAGCTTTTAAAGTAAAATAGAAACAGAGTTTCAGGTTTGCTACTTGAAGCTGGATTTGTTCTTTGTTTCCGTGTTTATTCTCTAGAGTCCAGCTCCCAACAAATGTCCAGGTGCCCTGCACAAGCCACAGAGAAGAAAGCAAAAGTACAGGTCCCTGATGTGTTAGAATACAGCCACTCTTTGTCCAGGGGCACACGGCAGCCCTAAGTCAGAGCTCTCTGCTCTGCTACTGGAGAGACAGGAGGACCTGGAGTTGGGGCTCCCCTCCTCACACCCCTCTAGGTTATCACCCCACAGCCACTTTGTTCCCTAGTGCCTCCTGGAGACTTCTGTGTGGGGACATGTAGAGAAAGGGCCTTTGGGAGAATTCCTGCCTTTCCTTTGAGGCTACTTTGCTGAAATTTTGGGATTTCTTGGTTGGCTTTACCCCAAGAAAGGAAGGAAGGAAGGAGAAAAGAAAGAAAGAAAGAAAGAAAGAAAGAAAGAAAGAAAGAAAGAAAGAAAGAAAGAAAGAAAGAAAGAAAGAGAACCAGCCTATTGTGTTAAGAACCACCAAATCCCACCCACAAGTGGGATAGTTTTCTATCCCTTTGAAGTGATGGAATAGAAACTCAGGGTGTCCCTTCCCCCTCCCCAGATCTGACCCCTTTCTTTGACCAACAGAAATCTAGGTAAAATTACAGCGCCAAATGGTCTCAGTCTTAAAGCAGCCTGCCTGCGTTTTCAGAGGCTGGTCTGTTTCCCTGCCATTCTATTATCTTGAGAGCATAGACCATTACTTAACGAATGAGGGGGCTCTTCTAGGAGATCTCTAAGTGTGCATTTGACTCCTGCACTTGGAACTTAGCACCACTAGGAAAAGAACTCGCCTGAGTAATGACATGATAACCAGCAGGTGGCGCTGCATCCCACTGCGCTGCAAGGGAGGGTTCAGAAAGGGAAGGTTGGTGCCTTTCAAGTCACAAGATGTTAATAGTATTAAGACGCTAATGTTTTAATGAAAATAAACACTTATCAAGCTGGGCATGGTGGCACATCCCTTTAATCCCAGCACTGGAGGGACAGAGGCAGGTGGATCTCTGAGTTCCAGGTGAGCCTGGTCTACATAGAGTGTTACAGACCAACCTGTGCTACATAGTGAGACCCTGTCTCAAAGAACAAAACAAACACAAAAAAAGCACTGATATTAAATCTGAATATATGAGCTTTCCTCACAGGAAACTGTCATAAAACGTGTCAGATGGTCCTTCTGGGTCAAGATTCTATTTGGACTAAATAGCATCTCAGGGTAGAGGGCAGATCGGTCGGAAGCTTAGTTTTTGTTCCTCTTGCCTCCTGCCAGCTGTAAAGAGAATGACTTTGCTGGACAGAAATGGTTTGGGGGCAGGGAAGGTTGGCTGGGTGATACAGAGCACATGCACCTGCCTAGCATGGGCAGGACCCTGGGTTCCATCCCTAGCATTAGGGACAAAGGCCAAGTTTAATGTCTTGTATCACCAGTGTTAAAACACTAAAGTTGTAACCAAAATAAATGTCTTACCTTGCAAAGAAATGGGCTTTTTTTGTCCTTCTTGCCTTTTGTCACCTTTTCTTTTATGTGTTTAGGTTTAACCTTTTACGTTTGCCTTTTTTTTCATATTCTACCTATTTTTCTTTAAAAATATATCATTTTCAGGAAAGTTCCATTAGATAAACTTCAGATTTTCCATTCAAACTGCAATGACACAGATAAGAAAATTAAAATAATTTCTGGGTGAAAAAATAAATTCAAAGGAATATAGAATAGCAAATATTCTAGTATAATTCCCATAGATAAGCTGATATAAAAACCTTTCAGAAGTTTCACAACAATTGCAGGCATTGCATATACGTTGTGAATATAATTAATTCACATAAGTAATCTGTTAAATTTTGATACATGCCAAGTCCTATTTTCTTTTTTTAACTTTAAAAAATATTGAGAATTTCATACATGCGTATAAGGTGTTTTGATCAAACCCACACCCATTCCCTCCCCTCCAACTCCTCCCATATCTCATCTTTGTGTACTCCTTTTTAAAAAAAAAATGGGCCTTTTTGCTACTCTAACATTCCCCCCTCTGAAGAGGTAACCCTAAAATCTTTTAGGGATTAGATAAGAGCCCCCAAATACGTTTGGCATTTTTGGCCTTTGGAACAGTATGTTGCTAAGGGGCCCAAGGACATTTTGACTTTTAGCCAAGAAACTGGCTACTTTTCTTTGGGGTCTTTTTACTGTAACTGCCTAGCCAATTCCTACCTCCTATTCTTATCACACCATCCTCTGAAGAGGTTACCCAAATTGCTGATGGGGAATTGGGATGCAGATCACTCTGGCTTCTTCCATGCTGAACAGGGACACAGGGTGAAGCAACTGGAGTACCCCTTCAGTGGGTCTATCTAAAAGACTCCCAAATTGCACAACTCTTAACTGTAGGGAGAAAAGTCCTTGACTGGTGCCTAGGAGATGTGAAGGAGAAGTAAAGGCAAGAGTAATTAGCATTACAAGTTCTCGATGGGGAACCAGA